GCTGCCTGCCACTCAGCTGGCTGAGCTGTAGCCAAGACCAGAGCGACTATCTCCCCTGCCCCCAACTCCCCACCAATATGTACAGATGTCTAGGTATCCAAGGAGGAACATTTGTCAGGAGGCTCCAGGAGAGAGATGACTCTTCCATAAAGATTTCATTTTTGTTGGAGTCTATCCACGTCTCTGTATCTTCATAAAAAGTCAATAAGAAACTTCCATTAAAAAAAAAAAAAACAGGCATAATTAAATAGAAATAGGGACAGCTCCAGGAGAGGCTGAAGATTAAAGACCGAGAGGCCCAGGGCAGACGGGGGAATTTTATGAGCTCCCAAAGAAAGAAAAACACACCACACAGAAAACGTGCCCAGTAGAAACCGTCTTGGCTGCCTTAGGCAAGGCGAGTCGGCCAGTCTGGGGAGCTGGTCTCTGCAGACCCAGGGGGTGGGGCCGTTAACCTCACCCTGTGCGTGGCCTCTGTCTGGAGAGGAGCTTGGACCCCCGAGAAACGCTGCAGCTACCGCTGTCGGAAGCCAGTGGAATGTCAGGCCTCTGAAGCAGAAGAACCCTGCCCAGGTGGGAGCCACGGCGGTCCACAGCTCGGGACAGGCTGATCCTCTGTATTTTCAGCATCTGGGGCTCTCTTCTGAGATGCTCTTGGAATGGCCCTTATGGAATTTTCCAGATTCCAAGAATACAGAGTTAGACTTCCTTTCTGGGTTTAAGAGACTGAATATCCAAATGGACAATGACCAGACCGTATATGAACACAGACTCTGCCCCACAACCTGCAGCAACCTGCCCAGGGAACCAAGCCCTTATCCGCAGTAAACAGCTCAGGAAGCGAGCCTGCGCTCAGTCACACTCGCAGGAACCCAGATTCCTATTTTGTTTGACAATCTGGGAAGCTAAACAGTGACTCTGTAACACTCAGCCCAAATGGCCAGGGCTTGATGAATCCCTGCAGCTTCCCTAATTTTCATCCCCACTTCCAACACAGGACCATCAAGAGAAAGTCAGATGTGATCCCTCACATGGGATGCCCCGTCCTATACAGCCCGTCTCCAGATCCCCCAGGCCAATAGCCTCCAGCCCCTTCCCACCCCTCCCCCACTATAAAGCTTGCCCGCTCCCTTGTCTGCCTTTGAGTCTCCGCCACATGCAAGTGATGGTGGCTGACGCCTTCCTCTTGCGAGCTCTGAATAAATTAGTTGATCTTCGAGACTTTGCACAGGTTAAACGCCAGTCTCCCATCTGTTAATTGCACAACCTTATCAGATCCCTTCCGGTCTCTGAGCCTCTATCTGGGCATCTCAATCACAAGTCAGTGGCAGTAGTTGCCGCCATGGCTTGCCACAGGGATTCGTGAGGTCATTCACGTATAGCTCCTGGCAGAATACCTGGCACGCAGTTACTGCTCAATGAATACGGACCTCCATTTATTATTATGTCATTGCTACCCACCCTCCAAGAAACTTAGAGATGATCTTCTCCTGGAACTGTTCTAATGGCCACACAGTCTGGGAGGTATGAAAGCTAAGTCACCTGAAATTCACCGGTTTCAATCCTTAAATCAAAATGGGCGCCTGAAGCTTGGCGAGCCGTGAGGGCCATTTGGAGAGGGAGCTGATAGGACCTGGAGATTCGACATCTCCACGAGGTGGGTGGAAGGAAGCCAAAGGGACTTCTATCCACATGGCAGCACTTAAATACTAGGGACCAACCCTGCGAGGTATGTAGGGAATATCACGCCCATTTTGTAGATTAGGAAACTGAGGCTCATAGAGGTTAAGTGAATCTCTCTGAGTCACATCGCTAGGTCTTGAATTCTAAGGTGCTTGGGGTTGCAACAAGCCAGGGAGAGGGAGTTTTCCCCCTAGAGTGTGGAGCCCACAGAATCCGAGGCAGTGCAGGACAGGGGCAGTGTCAGAGGGTTCCAGCAAGGGTCCTGGCAGAGAAAGCCCAGTGACTCAGAGAGACAAGGGGGACCAGACACGAGGGGTGGGCTGTGGCTGCAGTGGGTCAGCCCTGGTCTCTCGTGTGGCTTTCTGGGCAAGATTGGAGGGGACAGGGTGAGCTGAGTAAACTCTCAGGTCAAAGAGCCAGGCTCAAGGGAAGCGGCTGGAGGGGTTCAGGAACCAGGCTGTGGGTGTCAGACCAAAGGCTGAGGGTGGATTTTAGAACTGGGCTCCAAGGTCAGGCAATGACCTTGGTGCCAAGACATTCAACTCACTGAACTGGCTCTTGAATTCCTCTGGACTAAGAAAGGCCCAGCCCCGAGGCCTGTAACCTTGTGGCTTGCAGGTGCCTGCAGATGGCCTTGGCCGTGGGGAGGTGGGCAACTTAGCCCAGAGGTCATTCTCACCCAGCCCTGTACACCCACACTCATTTACACACCTGTACCCATGGCGTCGATTGGTAAGCAGAGAAGATGTTAACAAATGAATGCTGTTCTAGAACCAGCCTGGAAGGACATGCAGGAAACTGGTAACAGTGATTACCGGTCAAGGGAAGGAAATCAGCCTTCGGACAAGGGTTAGGGGGCTTTTTGTACTTGAAGTTTTTTACAATGTGCATATGTTAATTTTCAAAAAAAATAATTAGGACAAAAGAATATCCTTGATAATGAGGATGACAAAAATGACACAGAGTTGAAAAGACAGCTGAAAGACAGTACCGGGACCCAAACCACAGTCTAGGAAGTACATCTGCTCTGTGTCTCAATGCCCCTAACTGGGCATGGGGACAACAACGGTGTCTTTGGCTCCAGCAAGAAAAGCAAAGATGAGGAGTGTGTACAGGCCAGGGCTAAGGAGGCAGGAGGTAGCCAGACTTCCCTTTCACCTAAATGCAAAGAAAATTGGGATCTCTTTTAGCAATTAGAAACGTGAAGTGAACAAAGGGAAAGGAAGCAAAATAATGTAAAAACGATGATGGCTCACACTTATATAGGACTTTCTACATGCCAGGAACTTTTTAAGAATTTCACACACAATAGCTAATATAATCCTAATAATGGTGAGATAGCTACTATTATTGTCATATTCTACAGATGAGGAAACCAAAGACCAGGCAAGTTAAGTAACTTGCCCAAGGTCACACAGCTAGTATGAGTTGGAGCTGGGATTAAACCAGGCAGTCTGGCTTCAGAGCCCACACATATTTTTATATGTGTCCTGATAAAAGAAACTTTCACATGTTGAGGTATGGGGAAGTCGTTCTGGCTTATCTATGGGTTAACTTGAATTTTATGCTGACTAAAACAGCCTGTTTGCGGCCTACCAAACATACATTGTACATCTGCTTTAATTATTAAAGAAAAGGGTGCGTTGACCAAAAGTAGAGAATGTCCATGTTAAACATAAAGGTCAAATGCCTTTCTTCCTGGGACGCCAATGCTGGTACCTTTTTGATGATAAGACTCCCTTCCCAGGTGCCAAAGCCATTCTGACTCACTATGTACACGATGATCTGGTCTGGTACCTTGAAGGAATGGATCCCCGACTCATGTAATGTTCTTTGTTCTGACAACATGTAAAACTGTGCTGAAAACCATGCTTCTGCGGAGCAGTTCCTCAGTCATCTGAGAGGCTGTCTTCTGGGCTATAGTCCTCAGTTTGGCTCAAATAAAACTCTTTTCCAGTCCTATTATAAATTGTTGATTATTTTTGTTGGCAGTCCAAAGCATTCAGCTTCTCAAATCTTTTTATTTGAAGAGCTCAGATGAAAGTGAAAAAAACCCCACAATTTACAGATCCCAGTGGACTGGCCTAAAGTCTAAAGGGGCCCCTGGTCCTGTTCTCACCCCACATATAATTGTCACAAATGGTGACAAGGACAAAGCAGAGGCAGAAAGCGAGGCTCTCTCAGTTCCAGCTGCAGGAGAACAGACAAGGTCGAGAAGGAGAAAGAGATGGCGCGAGGGGATCTGAAGCCCCAGAAGGAATCATGCATCCCGCTCAGAGGGCTGCAAGGCCTGGACCGAGAACAGACCCCTTTCACATCTTATCTGCAACTGCCCCGCCCTCAGGATTAGCATTGCACAACTGGAGGGGCCCCCGGCCTGGTGTGCTTCCAGCCTTGTTCTCTGGATATAAGACTGAGAAGGAAAGGATTTGACTGAGTTCACAGGGTTCAAGGTGGAGAAGAGACAGCCTTCCAGGCCTCCTGCTGCCGGTGTCCTGAACCTTCCATCACAGATGGCTGAATCCCCCTCTTCTGGGAAGCCTTTCCTGCCCCCTCCTTCCACTGCCAGTCTCTACAGGGCTATTGCCCCCTCGCTGCACCCTGTCCCAGCACCAGCCCAGGTGTCTTTTTGTTTTGGGCCATGTTGCATGTGGATCTTAGTTCCCGGACCAGGGATCGAACCCGCCGTGGAAGTGCGGAGTCTTAACCACTGGACCACCAGGGAAGTCCCCAGGTGTCCTCTTGAAATTAGTCCTGGCTGCAGTGCCAGGATATGGGGCCCTTGGGTCTTCCCTCTTTGTGACAGTGCTGGCCTGGCTGGATGGAAAACAAGTGGGAAAGGGTTTGATCCTGAGGTGAAGGGGATAAAAGCCTATGGTGTCCTGGAGGTTACAGGCCTCTCCACTCCACGGGTTGACCCACTCCATGGGTTCTCCTTCCTGTGAGGCTGCTTCCTTACCTCCCAGGGGATCTGGTCATCCCAATCCCAGACCCCTGAGATGGGTCTGAGGCAGCTGAACTGGGTCCTGGATTTCTGAGACAGCTCCGTACAGCACCGGGCAGGAGTGCCCTGGCCTCACCTGACCCTACTTAGCCGGCTGGTCTTCTGAGAGCACGAGTAAAAGTAAAGTGGCTAAGAGGCCTGGCCTCTTACACTCACTCTTACACACATGACCACACACACACACACACACACACACACGTACACACGCAGCAAAAGGCACCTCGTATCTCTGGGTAGAGGCAATTAAAGGTTGACCTAACCACACACACACACACACGCACACACACACACACACACACGCAGCAAAAGGCACCTCGTATCTCTGGGTAGAGGCAATTAGAGGTTGACCTAAGTCCTTTTGAAGCAATAAAACTTTGACAAAAGTCTCCGTGGCTTCATGACCACTGCCTCCAATGGGGGACTCTGATTTCCCTGGGAAAAAAACGTGGTGAAATAAATTTGAGTTTGGCTACAGAAAATATATACTAAGGAATATGTAACATTTGCCTGGATGTTGGAGGAGAGATAAAAGGAAAAGCAATCTGTGTGTTTACATGACTCCAGTCGTTTCGGCTTTTACGAAAGACGGCAAGTGTTTGCCTTTGGAAATCTAGGAAGCAGGACTGAAGTGAAGCCACACACGCAAAGCCAAATCCAGCATCAAAATATAAGAAAGGGGGCTTCCCTGGTGGCGCAGTAGTTGAGAGTCCGCCTGCCGATGCAGGGGACACGGGTTCGTGCCCTGGTCCGGGAAGATCCCACATGCCGCGGAGCGGCTGGATCCGTGAGCCATGGCCGCTGACCCTGCGCGTCCAGAGCCTGTGCTCCGCACGGGAGAGGCCACAACAGTGAGAGGCCCGCGTACCGCAAAAAAAAAAAAAAAAAAAAACAAAACCAAAATATAAGAAATGAACACTGTAGCAAATAAAGGAAAACCTGGTAAGATACAATGGGTCCCGTGCTCAGCGAAAATTTGTTCACCTGGATTCCACCAGGTCGTTCTTGCCTTGGAAAGTTAGTGACACGGGAATCACAGACACTTCAAAGAACACAGCTGCCCGTCCGTTAAAATGCTCCCAAGACAGTTCTCCAAAATACTCTTCTCTGAGTTTACCTTTTTCTATTTTCCTCTCTGAACCATGGTAGATAGTAGAATTACTCCTTCACAATTAAGATGTGCCCCTGTAGGGGATTCCCTGGTGGCACAGTGGTTAAGAATCCGCCTGCCAAGGCACGGGACACGGGTTCGAGCCCTGGTCCGGGAAGATCCCACATGCCGCGGAGCATCTAAGCCCGTGTGCCACAACTATTGAGCCTGCGCTCTACAGCCCGCGAGCCACAGCTACTGAGCCTGCGTGCCACAACTACTGAAGCCCGCGTGCCTAGAGCCCACGCTCCGCAACAAGAGAAGCCACTGCAATGAGAAGCCATGCACCGCAATGAAGAGCAGCCCCCGCTCGCCGCAACTAGAGAAAGCTCGCGTGCAGCAATGAAGACCCCACACAGCCAAAAATAAAAATAAACAAAATAAATAAATTTTTTTTTTAAAAAAAGATGTGTCTCTGTGTTCAGAACAAAGGCTGATCTTGGGTTTTGATCTCTGCACCCACAGTGGGAGTAAGTCTGTGCGACTCCAGGCAAAGTTTTCTGAGCTCCTTGGGCTTCAGTAAATAAAGGGGTTAAAGCTCTAGCCAACAAAGCTATCCAGACAACGAGAGATCCAGTGATGAAGTCTAAATTCATCTGCAGGCAACGCCCATCACTGCTCAAAGGGTCCAGGGCCACCAGCAATTCCTCTGATTCACTTTCTCCCCAAGGTTCCTATGTCCTAAAAGCCACACTTTGCTTATCAGTAATAATGCATTTTGCCATTTGGGTTGGCCAAAAACATAACTAACTACCAAGCAGAAGTCCTGACTAGAAAAAGAAACCAAAGTCTCCATGAAAAATGTCATTTTAACCCAAAGTAATGTCACTTAAAGTTTTAGTTATGGGTAACTCCGCTTTTTATATTTGGAAATAGTGTTTGTAACTTATAAACATTGTCCTTCAACCCTATACTACCTTCATGAATCCTTTTGGGATCCAGGGACCTTGAACCAGGAATTACTGTATCTGGTGGTCTCTAAGGTTCTGCCATTCCATTATATTTAGCCTCAGAAATTCTGGCTGCCAAGGGGGCAGGATATCAAGGACTCTCATCCACCACCAGTGAGAATGTAATTTGGTACCATATTTGTGGAGGCCAGTTTTGCGATATATTTTAAAATCCTTAAAACGGGTATAGAAGAAGTTCTAGTTCTGATAATGGTATAGTAGCTCCTACTGGGCCAATTCCCCTGCAGATAACAAGTATAAACTCCAAACAAAATATTAGAAACCAACGATTTGGAAGCATTGGAGAGCAAGCAGAAGCAGGCAGGGGACTTTGACCTTCGAAAGAAGGAACCGCACTGCATGAGATCTATGTTTAGACAGTTTTCTGCTGAGGGCTCTCCTCAGTCTGCCAGACAGAAAGCTGCAATCTTACTGTTTGAAGTGTCAGAGGACAGAGTTCAGGGCTGCCAGAGTGGCTGGGAATTGAAGAGCTGGATCCTGAAAGAAGCTAAAACTTTTAAAAGCTGAGTAGAGATTTTAACTCCTGCCCGTTTAATGAGAGACAGAGTTTGAAGTGTGAATCCTGCCAGTTTTTCCAGGAGAGATTTCATAAACATGTTGGACTTTCTATTGATATCCAGGGAAGGGGGAGGGGAGGGGAGCAAAGATTATGTCCCAGGATTAAAGACATTTCCCTCAGACTAAGAAAACTGTCAAAACAGATCCATCTTAAAGAGTAAAACTCAAGCTTCCACAACTTCAAGGTGATATGCCATAATTAACTGCCTTGCTATCATCAAAGCAAGACAAAAGATACAGAATTTCTAAACCCACTGTCCACAAAACAGTATACAATAAAAAAAAAAACTACTAGATATTCAAAGAAACAGAAAAATGTGACCCCTACTCAAGAAAAAAATCAATCAACAGAACTCCAAGGTAACCCAGATGTTGGAATTAGCAGACTGGAAATTTATGGTATTGACAGCTATTATAAATATATTTGAGGAATTAAAGGAAAACATTGCCATAATGAGTGAAGAGGTAGAGAATCTCAGCAGAGCAACAGAAACGATTCTTTAAAAAGAACCAAATGGAAGTTCCAGAACTGACAAGACTCAGAAGTGAAAAATTCAGTGGATAACTCTAACATCTTGGAGGCAACAGAAAAAAGGGTAAGTGACCTACAAGACGGGCCAATACAAATTAGCCAATCTTAAAAACACAGAGCAAAGCAGATTTTTAAAAACGACAGAGCTTCAGTGACATTTGGTACAACACCAAGCATTATAATAAACGTGTAATTGGAATCTCAGAGGGGAAGAGAGGGAAAATGGGCAGGAAAAGTATTTAAAAGAATATGGTCGAAAACGTCCTAAATCTGATGGAAAACATTAACCTGTATACCCCAAGAATCTCAATAAACTCCAAGGAAGATAAACACACACACACACACCACAGAAAGGCATACCACAGTTAAACTGCTGAAAAATAAAAAGTTTTGAGCAGCCAGAGAAGAAAATGACACAGATACAAAGATGAATCACGTTTGACTTTTTGTCAGAAGCAATGAAGCCAGAGATCATGGGACGATAAGATAATGAAATGATTAATGCTAAAGTTCTACATCCAGTTAAATAAATCTTTCAAAAAATTCAGGTCCTAGACATTTTTAATTAAATGAAGCTGAGAGAATTCTTCGTCAGGAAATGTGAAAGGAAGTTATTCAGGTTGAAGAGAAATGACATCAGAAGGAAACCTGGGTCTTCAACAGGGGAAGAAGCTACCAAAAATGGTAAACATGTGAGCAAAATAAAAGACTACCTTTTTGTCCTTCTGTAATTTCTTTTAGAGATAACCAGTAATTGTTTTTGCCTGTGAGCTATACGATATCATACAGCATGTATTTCTGACCACACGGGAATTAGAAATCACCAACAGAGTATCTAGAAAATCTCCAAATAAAAATTAATCAGCATGTATTTAGGTTTATCCATTATAAACTTAAGAGTAAAATCCCAAAGCTACGAAACCTGTGGAAGAAAACAGAAGATCTTGGCAATCTTGGGGCAGGCAGAGATTTCTTAGGACATGCAAAGCCCTAATCGAATTTTTTTATGATACATTGGTCCCCATCAAATTCTTCTCTTTAAAAAGAGACAAGCCACAGACTGAGAGAAAATATTCACAATATATTTAACTGGCAAAGTACTTGTATCCAGCATAAAGAATTGCTATAAATCCATAATGAAAGATATACAATCCAGTATTAAAAATAGGCAAAGAACAAGCATAGACACTTTGCAGATGACCAATAAGCACATGCAAAGGTGCTCAACATAATTAGTAATTAGACAAATACAAATTAAAACCACAATGAGATATCATTTCTCATGCGCTAGAATGCTTAAAATTTTATAAAGACCGACCCTTGCAAATGTTGGCAAAGACGTAGAACAACTGGAACTCTCGTACTTTGCTGGTGGGAACACACAATCGCTTTTACTTATAAATTCAACATACACTTACAGTATGACCTAGGTATTTCTCCTAGGTATTTTCCCCAGTGAAAAAAAATAAAAAACATTTGTCCACAAAACGACTTGCACATATTCTTCACAGCTTCATTCACAGGACTCCAAAATTGGAAATAGCCCAAACTACCATCAACAGGTGACTAGATAAACAAATTGTGGTATAATCCTGCCACTGATGACTTCCCAGCCAATCTGAGGACAGACACAGGTCAGAGCAGCCCTTAGCGCTGTGCCCATGGTGAGAACAGCCCACAAGTAACCCCAGACACAGATGCCAAGGTGGGGGACACGGTGAGGTCAGACGCTGATGACCAAAGGCCAGGAGGGAGGAACTCTGCTTCCTTGGGAGGCCAGACCCTCCTTTCTGAATGTGACAGGGCACACAGGTCCACTTCTGGCGCCTGGACTGTGTCTTGGGAAAGGAAAAGGGGGAAAGAAACCTTGGGTGACATCAGAAACTTAGATCTCACCGAGTCTAAGTTTTAAAGCAGTAGAAACTGAGGACTCTTCAGTTAGTTAAATGAAAAATTTTGTTGCTACCAATAGGAAAGGGGCTTTGAGTGCAAGATGAGCTTAGATATTAACAAAAAAAAAGATGAAAGTTAAAGTTTTTTGCACTTCCGACATGCACTTGAGTTATTTGTGCATTTCTAGAGGATCAAAATATGAGAGATGGGCCATGAGAGAAGCAGCCTCTGGGAAGAGAGAAGGGGAAACAGTGGCCAGAGACCTCACGACTCCAAATCTAGATTCCAGAGTCCCTCTGCACTAAGGTGGACGCCTGGTAATAAGACATGCCACAGTAGGATTCATTAAGCTGTGTTGGCTCAAAGTAAGCTGCACTCCCTTTGAAATTCAAATGAACTCCAGTGCAGTTTCACCTCTACAGAAAGGATATTTTCTTTTTTTTTTTTTAATTATTTTTTTAAATTGAAGGATAGTTGATTTACGTTTTGCCCATCTCTGGTGTAAAGCAAAGTGACTCAGTTACACACACATAGACTTTTTTTTTTTTTTTTTGGCCGTACGCGGGCCTCTCACTGTTGTGGCCTCTCCTGTTGCGGGGCACAGGCTCCGGACGCGCAGGCTCAGCGGCCATGGCTCACGGGCCCGGCCACTCCGCGGCACGTGGGATCCTCCCAGACCGGGGCACGAACCTGCGTCCCCTGCATCGGCAGGCGGACTCCCAACCACTGCGCCACCAGGGAAGCCCACATATAGACATTTTTAAATATTCTTTTCCATTACAGTTTATCCTAGGATATTGAATATAGTTTCCTGTGCTCTACAGTAGGACCTTGTTGTTTATCCATCCTATATATAATAGTTTAAATCTTCTAATCCCATACCCCGAGTCCTTCCCTGAGAAAGGATATTTTCTACACCGACTCAGTCCCAACTCTGAGAAACATGTCTGCATTTGTTTGAATATTAAAATTTATTGTTAAATAGAAAACCTTATTATTCCCATGAAATCCTAAAGGTTTTTAAGCATTCACCTTCCACTCCAGAGTCCAAACTCCTAGAAAAGCCCTTCTTCTGCTCCAGGAGGGGATGGTAGGGTGATCCTTCCCCCTATCCTCACCCCACCCCAAGCGTAACCAGTGGACAACAAGGGCATCTTGCTGGCCCCGGGGACTGAGGCTCTTTCATCGCTAGAGGATGCTAGAGACAGTTGGGAACTTGAGTGACCCACCATCCCAGCTGGCCTGAGACTGTCCCCGTTTTAGCAGCGAAAGCCCAGTATCTCAGGAAATTTCCCAGTTACCCTGCCAGCAGGTCAGGAGTTGCTGGTCAGAGGCTGTCCCTCTCCACAGGGCAGCTGCCTCCTGACTTAGAGCCTCTGTTCAAAAGGCTTCTTGATGTGGGTGTCTCCACCTACATCCTGCCTGTTTCAGCCAGTTCTCCTGGCTTTGAGTTCTGTTTGATAGCATCCACCCCATCCCATGACTCCTTGGATCTCAGCTACAATCAGTCTCTCTTGGCTTTTCTTGGTACCTCCAGCCCAAGGACACCAGGTTAGTTGCCAAGAAGACCCATAGTTTAGAAAGAGTTTTTAACAACTGTAAGTTACCTGTAAATTTCACGGCTATCCATTCTTATGATAAAGAATATTTACTTCTTGTTGTTTTCTTTAGATCTATGTCATTCCAAAATGCTTGAAAACTGTACAGCATCAATATTCACTGCCCTTTTCTGAGCCCTCTCACCTTCAAGTAAAAGCCCGAGTTGGGGATTCGAGTTTTGATTTTGTTTCTGGTCCATGGGAGTCCTGGAGGAGTAACACATATACACAAAACAAAAAGGAAATGAGCAACGTTCACTGCTCTTCAGCTGGGTTTGGGGGTTTGCTGCTGAAGCGTGCCTGCAGCTTTAGATGGGCACGTCGGTCCACCAGCAAGAAGGCTGGTTTGGACTGCAACCTTCATTCATTCATTCATTCATTCATTCATTCAACAAATATGCATTGCACACTGAGGTGCTTCAGAGATGAAACTAAACAAAAATGCGGCCAGCACTCACTAAGGCTCTGGCCTGCCGTTACTAACCCTCATGCCCGCTTCTGCCTCCTCTGTGTCCTGCACATAGCCGGGTAAGTGGGAGTTTAATGAAAAAATATACGGCTGAAGGAGAGGAAAAAGTCTTTCCTTGATCATTGTGGGGTCCTGGGGTCTGAAAACTAAACTGACAAAGGTGAACAGGAGAAAAGCATATGCATTTATTTAACAGAAGTTTTAGGTGATCTGGAAGTCTTCATAAGGAAATGAAGACCCAAAGTGACAGTTAGACCTGAGTGTTTTGTGCTGGGTTTAATGAGGAGCGTCCAGGCATGGAGGAATATGACAGGTGAAGGAGTATGAGGGGGGATCTTAACAAGGTCTGCTTGTTAGGGTTCTTCTTGGCGTCTCTTTGTCTTTAGAGATAAGGATGCTCTTTTCCTCCAGGTAAAGGGAGGGCACCTCTCACATGAGGGTTTTATGACCTGTTTCAGGGAAGAAGGGCAAGTGGGGTAGAGGTCAGGGTAAGCTTCCAGCTGTATTTTCTCAAGTCCCTTCAGCTTAAAATACCCGATATGTCCAGGTGCCCTATCTTGGAGTAGCATATTCTGAACCCCATCACAGCTCTGGCGATAATGATGCCATTGTACGTAATCGAAGAGCCTGTTGTTGTACAATAGATACGCAGGGGCAGAGATCAGTAAAACCAACTCCATCCTCTAGCGCTGCCCCTCCCCCGCAAAGCACCCCCGGCACACCCCTCCTTAACCGCAGCCAGGGCCTTGATGCCGGGACCTGCTTTCCTAGACGCCTCAGGCCATTTGTAAGACGGCACTAAAGTGAATTCTCAAGTCCTCCGTTTATTCAACACAGTAGACAGACAATCCTTGTATCACAGGTCCTGAGTGCAAGCAACAGAATTTTCATCTCTGAACTCCATCACAAAGGGCCTGTGTGCTAAGAACACGGCAGTTCCCTGAGTCACGGGGAAGGCTGGGTCGCTGGCTTTGGGAATGAGCGGGGAGGAGAAGAGAATGGCAAAAACAGGCACAAAGCAGGACTAATGTGGTCAGGGGGGCACTGCTGAGCTGAACAAGGTAAGTGCCCAAGTCTCAGAAAACGGCATCCCAATGACGGAGCGTGGTGATGTGTCCCCCACCGGCTGCACCAAAAGAGTGGGGGAAGAACTGGTACCTCTCGCTCTGGTGTGGCTTTTGCAGTCATTCCCCCTCCCCAAGATATTACAATGGAAGGGAGGGGCCCTGCCCCAGAGGAAACCGGATGCAACAGAGACGGGTAGCCCCGAACATACTGCAGCTCTCCTGACGGGGTCTGGTTGCATCTTTGTAACTAGGCTTCTTCAAGTATCAGTGCTACTCAGGGGTGCAGGCAGCCTCTAAAAGCTGGAACAGTCAAGGAAGCGGAATCTCCTCTAAAGCCTCCAAGACAGAACGATACTTTGCCTTGACCCCAGTGAGACTGACCTGGGGCATCTGGCGTCCAGATCTGTCAGCGAATACACTTGTGTTGTTTTACGCCACCAAGGGTATTACAGCGGCCACAGGAAACCAAAACGCTCTGCATGACAAGCAGGAAGGTAGAGAGGGGCCAAGGGGCTCACTTGTCACATCCCAGGAACACAGACCCTGCCTCCCGCTGGGGAGCATCGTCCTCGTGTCCCAACCCAGAACCTCTCCCTAAGTGGGAGAGTCCTCCGGGGCTCAGTAGAGCCCTGGGACAAGCGGCGGTCCTTCATTAGCTCCAGAAGGACGGCTCACCTGCCCTCAGCCTCCAGCAGGCAGGGCATCCTATGGCTGTTCTGAATCTGGCGACACTCGCGCTTGCCAGGGCCCAGGGTGGGAAGGTCGTAAGAGCTCTCAGGGCTGATCTGGGTGCCGCCACGGTTCCCGTGAGTCTGAACTAGCGTATCCATTGTATGAACAAGCGCATGTTGGAAACACCCAGATCGGAGGAGGAGCTGAGCTACAAGTCTAGAAAGGTAAACAGTGGTGCTGCTCTGAGAGCCGCCGCTGTTACTCCAGGCATTTTGATCCCGGAGCACCCGGCACACGGCCCCCGTCACAGGTATCCTCTGAAGATGCACAGACAAGCCCAGGTGAAGATGAAGCATTTTCTGCTCTTTCTGTTCCAGCCTCAGCCCGAATGTATTTATCGCAACACTTCTCAGCACAGTGGGGTGTGAAGCAGGGGAGCGGACAGAGGAGACGCCCCAGCGACTCATCATGGGGAAGGGTAATTGGGTCAAACTCCTGTTTACTGGAATGGCTTTCTACTGACACACACAAAAGTTCTGAAATAAAGGAGGCCTGTAATTGTTTGTTTCCTTTTGCTTTTTTGGTTACAACAGTAAAAACTGTCCTTCAGACTTAGCCCCCAAAGACATCAGAGCTCGACAATGACGAATGGGGAACAGATGTTTCTGGGCCGTCAGAATGGCAGCTTCCTCCTCGACACGTGGACTCCAGGATGCAGGTCACTGTCTGGCCTTGGAGGCCAGACAGACCAGGCCTAGCAGCCAGGGCTCGGGCTGTAAGGGGGTGTGGGATGATGGGCCAGGCTTTCCTGGACCAAGTTGGGCAACTCGGGGCTTTTAACTGCCTTGGGGATAAGCGTGTGTGCCTTGAATGAGGAACTAGGACAGGCCCTGACTTCCCAGCAGGGGTACTGCTCAATGTACACAGTTCTTGCTCCCCAAGGCCTCTGAGGCAGGGGACAGACGAGGATCTGCTCTTCTCAGGGCCTGGGGGCCAGCTCTGCAATTCTGTGCCACCCACCTTCCCACGTCACTTCACTCCCCCACTTCCTTCTCCCTGGAAACCCCACGTGGCCAGCCTGGGGATGGCAGATGGGGGTGGACGGATCAGGGCTAACGGCCAGGCAGCCTCTTCCTCTCAGAGGTTCCCCACCTCATCCAGTCTCTGGTCCCCAGTGGCACCAGCCTCCCAGCAGGTCACCCCATGGTTCTCCAATGGCCTCAGTACCTGCTACTTGGGCACCTGCTGCCGGTGTCCTTGGGGTGTTCAGTGGGAAACCCGGGGTTCTGGAGGGTCTAAGAGGGTGCAGTGGACATGACCATGCCAACTCCCAGGGCAGCTGATACCAGAGGCTTGGGGGGCAGCCCACCAGGAGCCAGAGGGGACCCTGCCACATGCCCTGAGGTTCCTCCACATTCACAGCCCCTTCCCCACCCACCAGGAAACAGCAGCAGGGGTTGAGGTCACCCTACACCCTCTTTCCCGCCATACTCACAACATCACGTGCAGTGGCCCCATCTCCACTCCTATTAGGAACCACTGAGACCTACCGTGTGCCAGGCTCTCGACGCCAGCGGCTAGGTTAAGAGGCAGCCCCTGCAGTCCAACTCCCCGGGTTCAAATCCCAGCTCCAGACACATCATCCTCCACGTGCCTGCGCATTTCATAACCTCCGCGTGCCTCAGTTTCCCCATCCTTAAATGGTGAGAAGTTTAGTACTTTCCAGGGGAGCTGCTTGTGACTATTAAATGTCAAGTGCTGGGCGCTGGGCTGACACGTGGGAGCGCCAGTTACAAGAGGCTCAGAAAGCGGAGCGCCTGGCCTCAGGGGTGGACCCAAGTGGTCGGGCGGGCTGTCCTCCAGCCACGGACCCCAACCCTGCAAGCCTTCAGTGGGCTGGCAGTGCGCATGCGCGGGCCCTGCGGTCCACGCGCATGCGCACCAGCTCAGGCCGGGAACGCTGCTGGGAGCAGCATCCTCCCACCGAAGGTTCGGAGCAGAGGGCAGGGGTACGAGGGGGCGGCTGGAGCCCAGTTCGCTCTCGCGAAGCACTTCCTGAACTGCACATTCAGTTACCACAAAATGAGTCAAGGTCCCTTTCAAGTGGCTTGCTGAGCTTCCCCCTGATCTGACACGGCCTCCCCGGGATGGACGGGCCGCAGCCTTTCCTGGTGAGCTGTCAGGCCCCGCTCGGAAACCCCTCCTCTGGGCACGAGCGCCGGGCCCTGCACAGGCACTGCGTCACTTCTCCCCTGCAACAACCCCATGGGGCAGGGTTTAGTCTTGTCCCCATTTTAGAAATGAGGAAACTGAGGCTCAGAGAGGTTGGGTGAGTGGCCTTGGATCACACAGCTAGTCAGGGTCAGGGCTGGGATTTGAACTCACGCCTGTCTGGCTCATAACCTGCGCGCTCTTTCTCCGGGCTCACTGTGGTGAGGGGAGGCCACGTTCACCTTGCCTGCCTGGGTCAGAGAGAGGCCTGGAAGCTCTCATTTGTAAAATGGAGATGCCGGGGAGGTGAGACTATGGAAATGGAAGGATTAGAACCCATTTCTCACAACCCAGGAGGAAACAGGGGACTGTACTTTCTAGGCAGGAGATACAAGGGCCACACTGATAGGGGTAGTGTCTCCCTGTGGACTGATTCCTCATAAGAAGGGGGTCCCTTTGCCCATAAAATGTCTCATCTGAGGGAATTCCCTGGCGGTCCAGTGGTTAGGACTCCACGCTTCCGCTGCAGGGGGCACGGGTTCCATCCCTGTCGGAGGAACTAAGGCTCCGCAAGCTGCCGCGGTGTGGCCAAAAAAAGAAAAAAAGTCTCCTCTGAAAGACCAAGGATGAGGGAGAGAGCCACAGAAGGCTTTCCCTGAAACCTGGCTCTAGGAGCAGGCACCTGCCTGGGTGGAGGGCGAGCCTCACCTGGGAAGGCCCTTCATCCTGGGGTGGGGAGGTGGGGGGAAGCAGGATGGGGCTCCCCAGCTCTGCCAGAAATGCATGGC